GTCTCTGTGCTTTCATGTTTCCTGCTCTTTAGTGGGTTGGACGGGAGGGAAGGTCCAACCCCAGTTTGACCCCGATCTCATCAGGTCTCGGAAGCTGAGCAGAGTTGGTACTTGGGAGACCACCAAGGAAGGCTCTGCAGAGGAAGGCCATGGCCAAGCACCTCTGCTTCTCACTCGCCTCACCTCGAAAGCCCCTTGCTGGGGTCACCATAAGCAGGTTACACCCACAGTAGACATGGAGCAGCGCCTCACCCTCTGACCTGAGGAATGTAAGGAAGAAGACTCTGCTCTTCACTGTGCTTCATTGTCCTTCACCTCCCGAAGCATCCGAACTCTCTTCAAAGGCAGCATGTGGATCATCTTGCAGAAGTTAATGCAGGAGGCTGTGGAAGTGTGGATAACTGAGGTGACTTCTTTGTCTTAGAGAAGCGGTTGTGGCCAGCCGAGCTGGTGAAAGTGCGCGTGTGCCCCCCCCCCCCATGAATCTGCTAGTCCCCGCCCAGGGTTCCCAGCCCCAGTTCAGCTCACAGCCATAATCATGCATGACACACATATGGGCATCCAATAGTGGAAGGGAACGGAGGTCTGCAGCAGGGGCACCTATGACAGGCAGGCAGTATGATGCCTCCGTACTGGCCATGCCTCGTGTAAATCCTAGGAGCCTTTCTTTCTGGCCTTCCCTAGTCAGCAGGGCGTTCCGTTTTCCCCACTGTGCTACACCTTCCCTGTTTTAGCCTTCCCCTTCCATTGGCCGTCCCCTAGCTGGAGCGCACACCCATTTCAGTAGGGCCACCAGCCTCCAGGTGGTGCCTGGAGATCTCCTGCTGTTAACAGTTGATCTCCAGACAACCCAGATCAGTTCCTGTGGAGAAAATGGCTGCTTTTGGAGGGTGGACTCTATGGCCCCCCCCCCCTCTGGAAGCCTCCCCCTCCCCGGGCTCCACCCCCAAAATCTCCAGGCCTTTCCCAACCCGGAGCCGGCAACTCTGCTTCTTGGTCTAGATTTCGGTGCAGCTTCCTGCAGCCCAGCCTAGATCCGAACGTAAGCCACCTCGGGGCTGAAGAGCTTTCTGGGATTGTTACCCGTGGACAACCAATCAGATCAATAGGCCCGTGGAGGCTATGCATAAAACATCCCTCTTGCTTGCCCTGTGTCCCCCCCCCACCCCGCCAAGTTGTAAGCATGCCAGTTGTTTAAGGATTTTATTCCTTTCCATTTGTTGTGGGAATTTAAGAAGGACACAGGGTGTGTGTGAGAGGAGAGAATAAGACACAAATAACAGGATATGTCTATTGCTAAGAGACACTGTAACACAAAGAGGTTCCTTTGATAAAGGCTTGGCTCCGACTTTTCCCCTTCTTTCTTTCTTTCTTTCTTTCTTTCTTTCTTTCTTTCTTTCTTTCTTTCTTTCTTTCTTTCTTTCTTTCTTTCTTTCTTTCTTTCTTTCTGTCATTTTTTTTTAAGCGGTAGCATCTCCATTAGCATTAATGGGGTAAGTACAGCCACGGAGGCATCTCAGAGGTTAATTGGGCTTCCTGGCCGGATCGGCGCCGTCAATACACACTGGCGCCTGATTCTGTTGGCCCTTCAGAGGTTTTCCTGACAACACACTAACAGACTCTGGTGTGTAAGTCATTTCCCATGAATAATTCAAGCGAACCCTCGGCTGCTAATTGATGAACACTAATGTGTTTTCTAATCACTGCAGTTTGAGTTTTTAGCACTAAACAAAGCAGTTGCCATTGATCTGTGGCTTCTGCTCCAGTCCGTGATCTGATCTGGCCTGATCCTCTCCTTTTCCCCAGCCCTCTCCTTTTCAGAATTTGAACAGGGAGCTTCACGCATCGATTCCTGGACCAGCCCCCCCCCCCCTTTCCTCTGGCCTTCCTTATGCCACACCTAGAGGAGATCCTTCAGTGTGTCCTTGGAAGCGCTGGTGCTGGAAGCTGTTGGGTGGTGTGGGCTCTCTGGTTGTCAGTGTGTGTGTGTGTGTGTGAGGTTAAAACACCTTTGGAGCAAGCCCAGCCCAGTGCCCCCTGCGGCCTGGGCAGGGTCCTTTGGCCGAGACCCCAGGTGTGACAGTGGGGGTGGGCTTGCCCCCTGGGCAGAGCTCAGGGGGGAAGGGAATTTAGCCAAGTGTGTTTGCAGCTTTTCTCAGGCAGTGAAAAGAAGTGGAGTGCGCAGCATCAGGCCCTCTGACTGGACGCAATGTTGAAGCCTTCGGATTGGCTGGGCTTGATAGAAATGCCAGCAGCCTAGATCCCCCCCCTCCCCCCGCTTGTTCTGCCAAAGAGTATGGTCTACCTGATGCACTTTGCTTTAGCACAGCTCCCCAGCTCTAGTTCCAGCAACTGACTTGAGTAACTTTGGTCTGGAGAACACCAACCCCCCCCCCCACCACACACACACGTGTAGCTCTTGTACCCGGCCTGTGGCCACAGACTGCCCTCCCCTGGCAGCCTCCTTTTCTTGGGAGAATTTCCAAAGCACTTGGTGACCTCCGAAGTGAAACTGTAATCTCTTTGTGCACATGGGACAAGACACAGTGCCTTCCACTCCTCCGTGAAGCTCACTGGATGATCTTCTGATAAGTCTCTTAACTCTCAGCCTAACCTGCCTCACAGGGTTGTTGTGAGAATAAACTGAGGGAGGGGGAAACACTTGCACCACTCTGAACTCCTTGGGAAAGGGGTAGGATGAAAGTGTAATCTATAGGAAGAGGTGTTTCACCAACACTTTTGCAAACTGACCATGGTCTAATTCCTTATTCACGTATACCAGAGTTGCTAGTCCACACCCTTTCCCAGTAGCGACGTATGCTTACATTAGTCGTTTGTAACTAGACCAAATCAATGTAATATTGGTGGTCTGAAAGATTTTTTTTTTTGGAAGAAAAAGAAAAAAACCCCACTCTTTTCATTCACTTAAGACTTCCCTACCTGGTTACCTATTAGCAGGGGTCATTTCCTGCGGGAGCGCATAGGAGTGGAACTCTGGCAGTAAGGAGGCCAGAGGGCGGGCACATGCAACAAGCCCCACCCCCTACTCCCAGCAGCCCTCAGTCGGGCCACGAGGAGCAAGATGCAGCCAGGTAAGTTGCAGAGCCCCTCCCCGGCCCTCCTTCAGGTGCAAGCTCTCCCTCTGTGAGGGCAGATCTGCGCGTTCCCCTCCCCCCCATAGCTAGCAATCCAAAACAGTCCAGTGGCACCTTTAAGACCAAGTCTTATTCAGGTACAAGCTCTCCCTCCTCTGCGAGGACAGATCTGCACGTTCCCCCCCTTCCCCCAATAGCTAGCAATCCAGAACAGTCCAGTGGAGCCTGAGCGGTGGGAGCCTTCTGACACACTTCCAGTGATGTCAGGGTGTGTGGCATATGCAAATATGCCAATGAGTTATGCTAATGAGCTCCTGCACCTCTTTGTCTACGAAATGACCCCTGCCTATTAGCAATTTTTACTCACCGCAGATAACCAATAAGCAACTATTTACCAAGCCCGGCTTCAAAGCTGACTTCATTGGCCTCACTTTTGTCCAGTATGTTTTTATCCCTCACTTCCCCCAAGGAGCTTAGGGCACTGTACACAATTCTCCCCTTTTATTCCCACAACAGTCCTGTGGGGTAGGTTAGGCTGAGCGAGCGTGACTGAAAGCCAGTAGTTTTCACGGCAGAGTGGAGATCTGGACCCGGGATTCCCAGATCCTGGCCTGACACTAATCAGCACACCATGCTGGGGCTGCCCTGGCATGAACACTCCCACTGCCATCGGAGGCATCAGCTGCGGCAATTAAGTAGGTAAGGTAAAGGTAAAGGTTCCCTTGCTCGAAAGCCAGTCGAATCCAACTCTAGGGTTGCGGTGTTCATCTCCGTTTCAAAGCCGAAGAGCCAGCGCTGTCCGAAGACATTTCCGTGGTCATGTGGCTGGCATGACTAAACACCAAGGCGCACGGAACGCTGTTACCTTCCCACTGAAGTGGTACCTATTTATCTACTTGCAATTTCTTGCTTTCGAACTGCTAGGTTGGCAGGAGAATTAAGTCGGTAGGGCAACAGAAAACTTTTTGCTGCATTGTGCCCCCCCCCCCCCCCCCAAGAAATTGGGATGTGTAGTTCCTTAGGAAAAGGTGCTCATCTCCATGCCTGTTGACTTGGCCGCCACTAAACTGGCTTCGAAGTTCATGCGCAGAGTGTGGGAGTGAGCACAAAGTTAGAAATACAAGGGTAATATGTGCCTCCTGGTTTCCAATTTGATTTGGGAAGTCTGACCTCCACTGGTGCCGTTCCCAGTATGGACCCCCTCCAATATGGTACACTTTGGTGGGCAGGGTCACTGTCTGTTTTCCTGCCCTCTCTGTCTCTCCGCAGCATCCTTCCAAAGCTGCCCCCACCCGCCCCAAATGTCCTAGTCTGGCTCAATTCCAGTTAAGAGAATTATGTACCTGCAATGCTTTACTGTCTACTTGCCTCTGCAAAATATGGGAGGGTGTTATGGTGAGGGGAAATGGTTTAAAATCTGGTTTTGCATCCGGGATGGCTCTGAGATGTTTGAGGTTATGACTACAGGAGACACAGACTTCTGTCCTCCTTTTGACTGTAAAAGCATAGCTCTCTGCTACACTTTATGCTGTAAATGTGATCCGGCATGGCAAAAGGGGTGGTCACTGGTGGAATTATTCTGCAAATGAAGAAGAGGAAGAAGAAGAAGAGGAGGAGGAGATTGGATTTACACCCCACCCTTCACTCAGAGTGGCTTACAAACTCCTTTACCCTTTCCCTCCCCACAACAGACATTACCATTTGGTTTTTACTGTTGTATTTTCATATTTATAGCTTCATACTTCTCCTTTTGGTTTGGGGCAGCTCTTCAACAGAAACAGTTTGCCGCTGTCAAGTGTTTCACCTTCTGGAAGCGGGCTTTACGTTATCAGCTTTAAGGATGTCAAGGGGCCAAACCCAAAGAATGAGTTTTCAGTTGATTGTCCTTTCCCCCCCTTTCCCTAGACAATAAAAACTGGACTTACCATGGTTGGGAAAGTTGTGACCCAGCTGACGGGGACTCTTCCATCCGGAGCAACAGAAGAAGAGATCTTGGCTCATAGCAATACTCGCCGCAGCCCCTTGGTGCCTGGGATTGTCACCGTCATCGATACAGAGACGGTTGGAGAGGGACAGGTAAGACACATTTTTCGGAGGAATGAAAAACCATGCGCTAAACCTAGGGGTACTGAAACTCTTTTTGCTTAGGCAACTTTTCCTTCACTGATTTGTCTGCCCAGGAACACTCCCCCCCCATGCCCCCCCAGGCCATGAAACCCCTGGGGATTTGGAGAGGGTCAGGGGTGCATTGCAGGTCACCAACTTAATGAAGGCAGCAGGCCTTTTGTGAGCATTTTTTGAGACTCACTAGAGGAGAAGGTTCCTGGTGACAGAAAGGCGGGCTTTCTGAGAAGCTGGCCCTTCATTCCTGATCCCATCAGGGAAGCCTTCTGAGGAGCTTCTGAAGAACTTCAGGGTTCTCTGGCACACAGTTTGGAAACCCCTGTGCTCAGGGGTCATTTCGTAGAAAAAGAGGTGCAGGAGCTCATTAGCATAACTTATTTGCATATGCCACACCCCCTGGCATCACTGGAAGTGTGTCAGAAGGCAACACCCACTGCTCAGGCTCCACTGGACTGTTTTGGACTGCTAGCTATTGGGGGGGGGACATGCAGATCTGCCCTCACAGAGGAGGGAGAGCTTGTACCTGAATAAACCTTGGCCTTAAAGGTGCCACTGGACTGTTGTGGATTGCTATGGGGGTGGGCTCTGCAACTTACCTGGCTGCTTCTTGCTCCTTGTGGCCAGAGGCTGCTGGGAGCAGGGGGTGGGGCTTGTTGCATGTGCCCGCCCCCTGGGCTCCTTACTGCCGGAGCTCCATTCCTGTGCGCTCCTGCAGGAAATGACCCCTGCCTGTGCTAAGGGCACGAGCAGGCAAGAACCTCAGCCTGGGATGCTGCTGAAAACAGCAGTCCCACGTTGAGTTCTCCTCTCCCTCCCCATCGTACTTAGGCAGACTTATCCATGTTGTGACATCCAGTGGGACTACTTCACATTCTCTTTTCTCATCACTGGCTGCTGCTGGCAGGAATGGACCGAACTATGACTCTGGTACAAACAGTTGAACATTAATGGGGATGGGTGAGAAATCTGACACAGGGTTGCCATTTTGGGGCGGCAGACCTGTATCAAGCATCGTGTCCCAGGCAAAAGCGGAGGCGCGAATAAATACTTTTGCACTGGTTGCAGAATTACAGCCCTTGACTGAGTTTGGGGAAGGGGGAAGGGAGGCTAAGATTCTTTGTGGGTGGCGTGGACTTCTCCTAGCAGGAAGGACTAATTGGGAATGAACGAGAGCCAGCTTGTGTGCAGTGGGAGAGCCTTCGTGAAAGTGACGTTTGTGACAATGCCAAGTGCAAAGTGTCACTCTGCGTCATCTTTGGGATGGCTTGACATTGATGTTGATTTGTGGTGACCACTCGTAGTGCGGGGGCAGCTTGATGGTGGTGATGACTCTGTAACGGAGCGGGACCCGAGGGCTCGGAGCAACTGCTGGGAAGACTTGCTGGCTCCTAGGAGACCTCATCGCTAGACTTGGCTAGCCCGTTAGTGAGCCGGGGAGTGCGTGGAGGAGTGAACCGGTCGGGGGCCTTCAGCAAGCGTGAGCCCTCCAACAGTTCACAGATGAAACTTGTTTTGCTCTGGTGTGCTTGGCACACTTCTGTCTTCACACCAAAGATCGAATATCTTGCCTCTCTCCACATGTCCCACTTGTAAATCTCGCTAGCTGTGTACAGCATTCCGTTGCTGCCTAATAGCAAGGTGGGGCTTTTGCTGTGTTGGGCTGAAGATATACCACAGTACATTGCTCTGACCTGGATGGCCAAGGCTAGCCCGAACTCGTCAGCTCTCAGAAGCTAAGTGGGGTCGGCCCTGGTTAGTACTTGGATGGGAGACCACCGAGGAAGCCCAGGGTGGCTACACAGAGGCCAGGCAATGGCAAACCACCTCTGAACGTCTCTTGCCTTGGAAACCCCAAAGGGTCACCCTATGTTGGCTGTGGCGTGACAGCACTTTCCCTCCATATTAAGAGATTATTAAGGACGTAAGAACATCAGAAGAGCCCTGCCAGATCAGACCAGTGGTCCACCTTGTCCAACATTCTGTCTCACACAGGGGCCAACCAGTTCCAGAGTATCTTAGCCTAGTTCGTGTTTCATAAAGACCCTCATCCGGCCACAGCCTCTGAAGCAGCGGTAAATTAGCTGTTTGCCATGAAAAACCCTGGTGGGCTGCCGTCCTGAGAGGCCACCTGTCCCAGAGCTCACATACCTGCCCCCATGGTGGGGCCAGCTTGGAGGAACGTGGCAGTGCCCGGCTCGGCTGTGTCTGCCCAGGGGCGGTGCTGGTGGTGAGAAGGAGCACTGTGGCACCCCCTTTCCTCCTGGTCCTCTTCGCCTTTCCATCAAGCAGGAGGGGGTGGAGGGGCAGGAGGCGGTGGGGCCCTTTCCCGGGGTCGTACGGCCCCCTCCCAGTCCACCCCAGCCCTGACCTGGACGGCCCAGGCAGGCCCCCTCTCATCATATCTGGGAAGCTAAGCAGGGTCAGCCCTGACGTCAGGACGTCTCTCGCCTTGAAAGCCCTAGGCATTCGCCATTCGTTGGCCGAGATTTAATGGCACTGTCCACCGCCAGTCCGCCCCTGCTCTGAAATGACAAGCCGTGAGTCGTGCTTTAGTGTCCACGTGCCTGCATTTAAGTGCACGTTGGCAAGGATTGAGATGCATCTGCCTGCCCCCCCTCCCCGGATTTAATTTCTAGTTTGCAGAAACCGGTAGTGGGTGTAATGGATGGAGAGCTGGTGCCCTATACTGGAGTGTTAGATTAGGGCCCGGGGGACGCCGCTTCGGATTGCCACTCTGCCCTGGAAGCCTGCTGGGCCAGTCGGACACTCTCTCAGCCTAACTCACGTCACAGTTGGGCCCTGGAGATCTCCTGGAATTATAACTGGTGGGCTCTGGAGATCTCCTGGAATTATAACTGAGCTACAGACTACAGAGATCAGTTCCCGTGGAGGAAATGGCTCCTTTGGAGCCCTCCCCCCCTCTCCAAAATGCCAAACCCTCCCCTCCACAGGATCCACACTCGCATCTCTAGGAATTTTTCAGTCCAGAGGATAAAATGGAGGGGGCAAGTGAATGTCCTACCCCTCCCCGAGCATGTCAGAGGAAGGGCATGTTAAGCATAAGGTAATCCTTGCTTGCCATAGACAACCAGGCATGTGGCTACGTAAACTTGAGAGCCAGCGTTTCCATAACAGCTTTGCTCGGTTACAGTTTGGACTGTATAAAATTGATTTTGCTGGTAATTTGAAGAAGAAGAGCCCTGCTGGATCAGACCCAAGGCCCATCTAGTCCAGCCTTTTAATCACACAGTGGCCGACCAAAAGCAGGCCAGCGACTTGTACAAAGAGGCATAGTGTCCCCAGTTGACGGAGGGAGTAGATAACCACCATGGCTAGTAGCCGTTGATAGCCCTCCCTCCCCCCATTGAATTTGTCCCCTCCCCTTTTAAAGGCTTCTGAGTTGGGAGCTGTGACGAAATGGCTGCCAGGCCTTAAAATGGCTGCCAGCCTGGTAGTTCCTTACGGGTGTGTGTGGGGGGTACTCCATAGGGAACAATGGAGCTGCCATACCTCCCTGCCTACACTTCCCAGAATCCCTGAGGGGAAAGAGCGGGAAAAGAGGGACAGAGCCAAGGGGTGGGGCTAGGGAGAGAGGGGCTTTTTGGCTCCTGAGGAAAAAAGTCAGTCTCAGCTCGGTCTTCAGCGTGGACGGCAGGCTCAAGAAAGAGCGCAGGTGGGACTCCTGTCACCAGAGACTCCGTGGGCAATCCAGGCCACTATAGACCGTGGTGGAGAGCCAGGAGGGTGGCAGTGCTGGTGGCCAGTCCTGTGGAGAAGGGCTGGAGTTTCTCTCCACAACTGAAGAGGGAAACGCAAATCCTGGCCTGAGGCCGCAATCCACTACCGAAGTAGAGAGGGTGTGTGGTAGGGACAGAAGACTTGCGTTTCGATCCTGTTTGTTTTGTGTGCCCAGGTTATGTGGAAGTGCCTGAGTTTATTTTCTATGCCCAAAATGTATATAGTTCAATAAATCTTCCTCTGTTGAGTTTAAAAAGCCTGGTGTGCCTTAACCACCTAGACTTCCCCGCTCCAGGGGCAAAGGGAGGCCAGGGGACTCAAACGGGCCTAAAACTGGTGGGTTGCCAACTCTCCAGGGGGCGCCCAAAGATTGACATAACCACTTCCTGAGGTGGGAAATTTAGCCAGAGGGGTCTCACTGTCCCTCAAGGAAGGCGGTGACTTAATTCAGTGAGTGGTGGCAGCCGGAACGAAGATAAATAGTCCCACCAGGCAGGGTGGGAAGGACAAAACGGGCTTGCAAGCCACAGGACGGCACCTTGGTCTCCCAGGGCTGAGGGTGGGTCCCCGTTTCGCCACAGGAGCCATGACCATGTTTTGTTGCAGCGAGTTCCACAGATCAATTATGTCCTGTGTGAAGAAATGCTTCCTGTTGTCTGTCCTGAATCTCCTGCTGTTCAGCTCTGGGGGAAGCTTCTCCCTGTCCACTCTCGCCACCCAATCCATAATTTTGTAAAACTCCATCCTGTCTTCCCCTTACTTGCCCTTTGTTGTAACCTCCCCACGAACACACATTTTGCACAAATAACAACTGACACTTGAGCTTTGAATAATTTTTTTAGATTATTTTTCATGAACCAGTTCAAAGGAATACCTTTGCATAAGGGTATGAATAAGGGCAGTTGTTCATGTGGCCTCCAAGGCCATGCTGAGTTAAACACAAAATAACAGAGAAAGAAGGGAGAAAATTATCAAATATTTCACTTAAGTTTTTACAAGGTTCAGTTCTCTTAGAATAAGGTAGTTAGTCCATTTGGGGTTTATTATTCTTTTCCTGGAAAATATTCCCTTGGCTTTTCGTGTAATGCCAGAAAAAGAGAGAGAGAGAAATTCTAGTTCATAAATGTCTCATGAAGCCCTTTTTTTACAAAAACACAGTCATTATTTCTGACGCTCAGTGTCTGCTCCCAGACTCCTCTTGCAATAGCTTTAGC